ATAACAGAGTCATTGGAAACTGTAGGCCTTCAAATATGCAATCATTTTTCCTTTCAAGTAAGAAAATATTATGAAATTGACAAACTGTTCAACATGCGATTTATGAGCAATGTCAAAAAAACGGAATATACGAAGTTGGCAGCAAGTAATAAATGATAAGCCGCAATAAGGAATGTTGGTGACGATGCCAACGATGGCAACGATAACTTTATTTCAGTTTTACAACGGGTAAAAACCTTTCATTCTTCTGTATTCCCATTGGCATCTGCATCACCACCACTACCGCCACTATTATTATCACCATCACCGTCGTCGTCATCGTCATCTTAACCGTCGTCTTCTTGGTTGTCGTTGCCGTCGTCACTATCATCGTCATTACCCTCTCATCACCATTGCCATCATCGTCGTAGTCATTGTCGCCATCATCGTGATTACCGTCGTCTTCGATGCCTTCATCGTCGCCATTATCATCGCCATCATCGTCGTTACCGTCGTCATCAACCACATCATCGTTATCATCACTGCCTCCATTTTGCGACGGTGATGGCGATCATTTATCCACAAGTTCACTTTTTTCTCTATTTTCAAATGAATTCGCCTTTTCTTCAAAATGCTCCTGCCGTTACTCAATTCTTTTTTTCTTTCTTTTTCTTTTTTTTTTTTTCAGTGTAAGATTTTGAATCTTCCGGTGGCCACGTTTTTTGACAGAAATTTTTAATGTTTAATAATTATTTGTTTGTAGGTTTATGTATGACTACAACTATTCATTTTTCTTCTCATTTACCTGATTCTGTCATCTTCATTACAATCATTATTATTGTTGTTTTTACTATTATTTTTACATTTTTTTGTGTTCATATTTTTACACTGACTGTAATAGAGAGTTTTCGGATTAGCAGAGTGTATGGTGAAAAGAATTTTTGATGATGAGGAGAACAAAGATTTTCAAATAGTGTCACTAAATGAGTGGTGAACATCACCGATCGTCTCCGTTTTCGGATGTTTTTGGCAGACAGATTTCAGAGGTGTAAATACCGAATGCTTAAGCTATGCCGCGTCTTCACAACCCCGAATTCGCTTTTTCGTCTTGTCCTCTCTTCTGTTTTCGCCGATCATTTGTCGTCTATCTTCCTCTCTATTTGCTCCTTTCGGAACCTCGCTTCAACTTTATGTGTATATGTAGATTTTTTTTATTTATATATTACATCTGTTTTGCAAAGAGGAAAAAAAAAAAAGGAAAAGGACGAGAACAAATAAATAAACTTGAAATGTTTACAAAAATTAGGTTTTTTATGTGAATTGTTTAGATTATTTTAACGCAAAACAGATTGCTTAACCAAAAAAAATATTATTTAGCTGAAATATCTAAACAATGCCAAATTTGTTGCTGTTGTTGTTGTTGTTTTATTCTCTTTTGCTTTTTTTTTTTTTTGCTTTCTGAACTATTGACTGCGTTTCAAGGCATCGTTTTTTCCTTTTTGTTAGAACCGATTAGATACGAAAAAAAAGCGTACAAATTTTGATAGAACAAAAGACAGTTTTGTTATAGCTTTCTTCTTATTTTTTTTTTTTTTTTGAGCTATCTTTCCAGTTTGGTTGCGTTAAAAAAAAAAGAAAGAAGAATTTGCCAATCTGAAATTCCTTTTCGTAAATGAAGTTGGATTAAAAAATGCAGTAATGTAGTGAATATTAATGAGGTACTTGGCTTCAGTAAAAAAAAAAAATAAAATAAATAAATAAATAAATAAATAAATAATAAATACATAAAACAACTTTGGTTACGGTGTATCTCTTTGGCGTCACTTCTGCTCTTTTTCCATCTTTTTCATCGTCTTCTACTTTTTATGGAATAAGCTGTACAGTTTAACGCTTCACTTTTCTTCTAAATAAACCTTTATGTCTGTTCTATATACATCGTCATATCACTAATAAATTTAGGGAATATTTTGATTTTTAAGCCAATATTTAGTGGTTTATCTATTTATTAGCGCGCTATTGAAGACAATGTATACAGTAACTAACAGCAATAAAAACTGAAAGGGCAATACCAATATTTGGGAGGAAGAATAATCAATGTTTTTACCATTAAAAATGTAACCGTTTCAAAAACTGTTCATTTATAACAGAGAAAATGGAAAAAATTTCTGAACAATAACAATAAAAATCGTTTGGGTTATGTGATGGGTTTATTTTGAACACTCATTCTGGCGGTTTTAACTAGTTTATTTGCTACCACTCAAATATATACACTGTTGCATATATATATATA